CTTTCCACAGAACAACTGTGTCAACTCTTGAAACTGTGCCTGCAGTCAACCTACTTCACATATGGGGAGCAATATTATAGGCAGAAACATGGGTGTGCTATGGGGTCTCCAGTTTCTCCTATTGTTGCCAACCTGTACATGGAGGAGGTAGAAAAGAGAGCCTTGACGTCCTTTTCAGGGACACCACCAAGTCATTGGTTCAGGTATGTTGACGACACCTGGGTTAAAATTAAATCTCAGGAAGTCCAACATTTTACTGACCACATCAACTCTGTGGATAAATACATCAAGTTCACACGAGAAGATGTAAAAAATGGCAGGTTGGCTTTCTTGGACTGTGAGGTCTCAGTCTCTGATAGAGGACATTTGCAAACTGAGGTGTACCGCAAACCCACCCACACAGACCAGTATTTGCAGTTTGACTCCCATCACCCTTTGGAGCACAAGTTAGGAGTCATCAGGACTCTGTACCACAGAGCAGACAGCGTCCCCACTAGCTCAGGAGCCAGGCAGAAGGAGAAATCCCACACAAGACAGGCTCTAGAGCAATGTGGATATCCTAACTGGGCCTTCCTGAAAGCAGAGAAGAAACCCAAACAGGACTCCAGTCAGCCAACAGGTGAAAAGGAGGAACCCAGACCCAGACCAGTGGTCATTCCATATGTTGAGGGAGTATCAGAGAAACTGAGACGTTTATTTTCTAAACATAACGTCCCAGTGGCTTTTAAACCCCAAAATACATTACGGCAAAGACTGGTTCATCCCAAAGATCCAGTCCCCCGGCACAAACAGAGTAATGTTGTGTATGCTGTTCAGTGTCAGGAGGGCTGTGATCAGTCTTACATCGGGGAAACAAAACAGCCACTGGCCAAAAGGATGGCCCAGCACAGAAGATCAACATCATCAGGCCAGGACTCTGCGGTCTACACTCATCTCCAGGTCAGCGGTCACTCTTTCAGGGATGAAGATGTGCACATCCTGGATAGAGAGGAACGATGGTTTGAGAGAGGAGTAAAGGAGGCCATCTTTGTGAAAAGAAACCGTCCATCATTAAACAGGGGTGGAGGCCTACGTGTTCAATTGTCCCCCTCTTACAATGCTGTGATTGCTAGTATCACTCAGCCCTCTGTGAATAGTACACAGCCATCAGTGTGCTAATGATCCATTGTTAGACTGATGGTCCTTCTTGAGCATGTGATCAGTTGGTTTTGGTTGTCAGCAGCAAAACTGGTTGATCCACCCTGAGAAGGTGCTATTTAAGAGACTGAGCTGAAAACAGCACCTCAGACTGAAGAAGTCTCTCGGACGAGAGACGAAACGTTTCTACATTTTTTGTTGTTTTGCTTTGTTTTGGGTTTTTTTAATGTCCAGAGGACCAGATTTAACTTTTTTAAACTTTTAAGATAGTTAAGAACTTTTAGCTTTTAGGCGAGTGGCAGTTAAAATGTTACATTTAATAACAAATTAATCGATGCCGAGTGTCATGTAAAAAACATGATAGCATTTTGATAATATTTTTTGTTGACGAATCCTCTTTTCTCTTGTCCACCAAAGGGGGCCCCTCACTGCCCCGCCCAAAAGTTGCGTTGCCCGGGTGACCGCCCGTTTACGTGATGACGTTGAATGTATATGAGCGCAGGCGGCGGGATCTCTCTCCCTTTTACCGCCATCAGAGCGGAGTGTGTTTCGTTCCTGGGTCTTCTTTACTGCGCAGCGCTGTTTGTTCGGTTCAGCCTCCGGCCGCAGAGCGAAGGTAAGGGTCGCCACTTGCGAACGCCTCAGTCGCCACCGCCCCAAACTTCTGCCCACACTCAGAAGTTGTTTAATTCCGCAGCGTGAACAAAGAGCGGCGGAGAAAGACGGCTCCGCTCCGGCTAATGCTAAGACAGCGGCAGCAGCCATTGATGCCTCCATGATGCGCGTTAACGTTACACGCGCTTTGGAAAATAAAACAGCGGTTTACCCGCTCGCGATTTTCACCAACTCCCCCAATCGGTGCTTTCATTAAACAACAAAGACATCAGCTTATTCCTGCAACTGACTCTTATTTTACGACGTTCGTTCGCACGTGTTCGTATATTGCTTTTTTTTTGTCTTTATGTTCTCGCTCAGTCTTGAGGATGATGTTACTCGGGGTGGGGAACTGAGAGGAACTCTAACCAAGCGGCTGCTCTGAGCCTTGTAGCCCGGTCGTGTTACATAAGCAGAAGCTGGTTTAAACGTGGTACTTAAGAGACGGCACCAGTTTGCAACTGGGCCACGTTATGGGCAGGCAGCATCTGTCGAACTTGTTCCTCCCACTTGCTCTGCGCATCAAGCTAGCACATGCTAGCTGAAGTAGCGGCGGCAGGCCGGCTAAAGTTTCCCCGGTGACCCGCGCAGGGTCGGCCTGCACCAGGAGGAGGCAGTCGGTCATGTGGCTCCGACGGAAGCCGGTGACGGTCCAACAGGTTGACCGTGCGTGTTCGGTGTAAATTAAATCATAAATGTGGTTTAGGAAGAGGCTAGATCTGGGCAGCCGCCGGAGCTTGTCAATCATCACTGGTGAGGTTCATGCAACACGTGGTCACAGCTGAGAGGAAAAGGCTTTCCCAACTAAAGAGAAGTTTTTTAGCTTTTCTGCTGCTTTTGTGTCACAATGCCTCAAAGGTCAAACCTTGATCCGTATGCAAATAAGTGTTTACAAGCCCCATTGTTTTAAGGCTTTAGTATTTGACTTGGAAATTTGAGCCCAATTCCTCTAAATGTATATATTTTTAAGCCATGGTGATGGGAAGACTGGACGTTTAGACATGCATATTGATTTTCATGAAACTGACTATTAAATACTACCTCATGTTGTGAAGATATTACTAAAAAATGTCATGGACCTCTGGATGACTAATAATATATGCACATCTAAAATAATTATGTTTTTGGATCAACTCGGACATTAACTTGATAGACCAAGTGTCCCGGCCTTTGTTTGGAATTTCACACAGCAAGAGCTGTTTACAGAAGTTGCCATGTTGTATTTTTGGAACTGGAGTCTGTGCATTAGTGATGAGGGGCTTTTTAGTCCCACCGTATTCCACCCGTAGACCGGGGGTCTGCAACCTTTACGATCAAGAGCCATTTCTGCCCCTTCGTTCACTAAATTAAACGTGTCAAGCTGCTACATTTGTCATTATCAACTGGTGGCCCATGGGCCACTTCAAGTTTGTTATAGGGGGCATGAAATTACAAAACTAAAAACATCTGATAACATTTATTGATATTTTTACATTTTAAGACAGACTGGATCCATCCATTTGTCCATCTGTTATTTACCCAGATCCTACTGTTAAAGAAATAAAGTTAAAGTGAGTATAATTTACTCTGTATTATTATGAGTATCCATTTATTTACAAAGGAAATGACAGGAAAACTGCTAGAACTAGTACTTTTTTGTTGTGGGTATAACATCCTATAAAATTCAGTTTGTTGGTTTTGAAAGAGTTGCTGCAGAGGGACCAAAGAGCCACATGTGGCTCCAGAGCTGCAGCTTGCAGACCCTGCCCTAACCAATCATGTTGATACAAAAGCTTTATTTTAAGCATGAAAAAAACTAATTACAGGTAAAGATAATAATAATAATGTGTATTGTATTGTCATCATTGTACGTCCCCATACAATGGTGAAATTGGATCACTGCATTTAACCCATCCACCACCAGGTGGAGCAGTGAGCAGCTGTTGAAAGTGCCTGGGGAGCATTTCGGGGATAAGGTGCGCTGCCCAGAGACACCACCAGATGTGCAATGACTGGGGCTCAAACCTGGGACTTTCGGGTCCCGAGTTGGCTGCCCTTCCTCTACACCATGGGCGCCCAAAGTGGGGCCCACCAAGCTGTCCTCATTACTATATTAAAATTTCCTTTGCAGTGTCAGTGTGTTTACACTTGGTCATCCTGACTTTAATGTTAATGTTAAATGGAAAGTCAGCCTAATGACTACCTTAATGGCACTGTACAGCTGGAGTGGCTATTTTGTACATTAAATTATTTAATTTTACTAATTTTATATTTTATCTTGACAGACTTCCTACAGCTTCCTGCCACTGAGAAACATTTTCCTTTGGTCTTGCACTAATACACTTATAAATCACACAAAGTGTTTTAAAATAGCCTAAATTATAAATGTGAACTGGCTTCAGTAGTGGCTTTAGCCTCTTTTTGGGGGTGCTCAAGCACTCCTAAATTTAAACTCGACACTTCTGAAAAATAAAACATCCATTATTTTATAAGGAAACGGTCTCAACTCTTAGATTCACCAAAATATGGAATATGACTGTTTCAAACGGGCCAGTAAAATCTGATTTATAATTTTTTTTTTTTTTTCATGAGTCCTGCCACCTGTCAATCAATCCAGCACGTCAGCAACTGACCAATCAGCAGCCTCTATTTGTCCTGAAGTGAACGCCCCTTACCTGCAGAGCTGCAGCTTTTGCAGTCAGATTTCAATAATGTTAATCTACTTAATGAACCTTTGTAAAACCAAAATGCAGGAAATTGCATTCAAAATTCTCTAGGGGAGGACTTCCAGACCCCCCCACCCACCAACACCACAGCCACCTCTGTAATGTTCTTTATACAGAATTGAAGGTTAAATAACTCTAATGAATAAAAGGACTTTACTTGAAGTATTTGCATGTCATGTATTATTGCATTTGGCCCGCAGCCCTCTGGATTTAAAATTTGGCCCTCTCAGGGAAAACGTTTGGGCGCCCCTGCTCTACACCGTCCCAAGTTACAACTACACGATTGAGTCGACACCTGGGTAAAAAGTGAGGTTTGACCCAAAGCAATGACCCTTACATGGAGGAGACAGAACTTAAAACTACAGGAAAGATTGACGCTGTTTCAGCTTTGACTGGATTCATGGACCTTTCTATGAATATTAATGCATCACATTTAACACCACGTGACCAAATACATTCATAACTACTTCTGTTATTCAGGTTGGTGGCGTTAAACTCTAGTCTATTGATGCTGTTCACCTGCTTTCTTGTGTACTTTTCTAAGGTATGTTCCAGATCACTGGGACAGGTGAGTTCAAGCGTTTGACTCAGGTTTCAGTAATCAAAAGTTGAACATCATACATATACAATTCATTAAAAGAAATGTAGAAATTTGGGCAGCACGGTGGCACAACTGGTAGAGCTGCTGCCTCTTGGCGAGCAGGTCCTTGGTTCAAATCCTGGTCCGGGGTCTTTCTGGGTGGAGTTTGCATGTTCTCTCCGTGCTGCATGGGTTTCCTCCCACAGACCAAAAACATGCATGTTAGGCTGATTGGTAACTCTAAATTGTCCCTAGGTGAGAGTGATTGTTTGTCTCTGTGTCCCTGTGATGGACTGGAGACCTGTCCAGGGTGTCCACCTCTCGCACAGTGATTGTTGGACATGGGCACCAGCTACCTGCGACCCCCCAAAAGGAAGAAGCAGGTAAAAGATGATTGATGGATGGATGGAATGTAGAAATTTATTCTCGTACCTTCTGAACAACTTTTATCTATTGGCCCAGAAGTGGTTTTTGAAGCCCTGTAATCAGGAGGAGCTAATTAGATAATTAGGAGAAATTTGTCTTTATTCTACTAAAATTGCCTTGACGTACTATTTAACTAATTTAAACAAACTTGCAATGTCATTCTTCATAAAATGAGTTTTTAATTCAACAATTTTAAATGCATAAATGTAAGTTTTCCTGGTATTTTACGTTATGATGGCTAAATGTCCTCAACCTGTAAGGTTGCCAGTTGTTGAATGACTGCAGAGCTGCAACATAGATATGAACTCTGTTTAAACTGTATTTCAGTGAAACAGAAGTAAGCACGACTACAGTAGACCACAATGAGCACGCCCGCTGGTAATTTAAAAAGGTCATCGGAGTATTTGGCTCAGCCTGATTCAAATCAGCCTTGAAAACACACAGAGGCTCATTAAGCCAATTTTTTAATGTGGTTGTAGCAGAGTCATTCACAACAAAACATCTATACTGCATGAGATTGTGCATCAAATGATTTTCAAATTGATCAAGACCACTTCAACTTTTTTCAACATAAGATGTTTTGGTGTAAAACATCTGGTGACCTTTCTTTGGCGGTTGCAGATCTTAAAGCTCAGCTCAAGCTAGGTCTTAAATAGAGATGGACTCATGAAACAGCCATTTTTATCCACTCTTATGATCAGCAGTTGGTCACATCTGTCCTTACTAAATCAATTAAACTGGTTGAACTGATCAATTAGTTGATTTAAACTGGTTAGGAAGATGGAGATGCAGCTGCTTTAACCACTTTATTAAAGCCCACAATTTATTTAAGCAAAAAATGCCATTCTAGATGTTGTTTTTTAGGTGTACATGTTCTCAAAGTTCTTAAAAAATGTGTTTTAAGTTATTGACCAAAAAAATAGTTTGATATCAGATTAAGAAGTTAAATAATTTTAATTAGAAATGATTCCAGTGCTGCAGCTCAGTTTTAAACGTAGACACAGTGAGTTTGTAAAACTGTAGTGATGTGAGGGATTTAATGAGAGGCCTCATTTTTGACTGTTGGAGGAATGAGGACCTGAAGAAAACTCTTAACACAAGGACAATATGTTAACTCCACACAGAAAGATCCAGACCCAACCTAGGGCTCAAACCCAGAACCTTCATGCCATGAGGAACCATACCATCCACCTAAATAATCTAGATAATATGAATAAAAACAAAGGAAATTGCCAAATGAATCCCATGTAAAATACAAAATGTATAGTTTCTGGGTTCACCTTCATAATTTTCTCCATTGACCTTGATACTAAATGGCAGTCTGGTTTATACAAAATTGCTTCTTAACCCTTTACCACCCAAACCTAAAAATGATCATCCTGCAAGCTTGTAAAAAAATAAAAAATTACGGTACCGGTCGTCTGTGACCCACTCATAATAAAAGGTTTAAAGCCACAGGTGAACAAACTGCTTCCTTCGTTGGTTTTATCTAAGGGCTTTGCTCTGCAGCAGAGTAGGGTTGAATTTGGATTGTTTTTAATGTTGTGTAAGGGTGGCCGGTACAACACATGAAGGTGTTTCCTCCTGTACAACTAGAACAGCCACACTGACAGGATGAGGATTTTTCTGTGTAATTATGACTTTTATTTTTCACAGGTGTTGTGTAATTTACACGATGGAGTTGTGCCAGAGGCGTTCCAAAGCCAAAATAACAAAACGCTTTAATTCACTTACCTGTGTACAGCAGTCCCTCGATCGTGGGGTTGTGTTCCACACACCACCGTGATGGGTGGAAAACCACCAAGTAGGAACACTATATTTATTTTAGTATTTCTATATTTTAAGGCTTTATAAACACTTCCCACACTCTTGCAATGTTCTAAACTCTTAAACCTACGTAATTTTAACAGGATATGTACTGAACAGTACTGCAAAATTTTACTCACCAGTTCTGCAGACCTACCCTGCAGCGACGAAGCCCACTGCCCCGTCCAGGTTGATGTGCACGTGGATAATTGAGCTCCAGGAAGTTTCAGGATTATTTGTGACTTTCCAGTCAGTTCTGTGAGCTTCGTAGATCGATTGTTACTTCTGACATTGCGTTGAAAAACTTTCCCCTCATTTAGGCAGAAAGCTGCGGCTGGAAGCACTGTTGGCTTCTGGGTAGTGTAGTTCTTTGGCGTTACAGTGTAGGATTTTGAAAGAAAACTACAAAATGGCGGCGCTGGTCCAAAGTTTTTTTTTTCCCCCCCCTAACTTTTGATCCCTTACTGTCCCAGACACGTGAGTAATGTTAAAGTTGACAATCATGTGTCATGTATAATCTCACATTGAAAATCTGTGAGAGCTAGTCCACGAAAGTCGACTCGTGAAGTAACGGGGTACTGCTGTACAAGAATAAAAAATGTGAGCTCATTTCTGAACGAACAAAAGCAGAAGAAAATGTTAAGAAAATAAATGACAGCCCACCTCGAGCAAGTATTTACAAAATAATCAGTTTGCTGATGTGACAGTAGCTGGGGTTGGTCAGGTCAGGCAAAGACATGAACAGCGTTATCACTTGTCTTAAAGTCACTTGTGCTGCTGACATGGGGGGGGGGGCTTGAGTAACGCGTGTGAAGAAAATGAGATGGTTCTTCCTTAACTTCTCAGTTCTCATGAATTCTTCCTGGCAGTAAATCCAGGTCATGAGTTTAGCTGGTGTAGTCTACATTTGGAGTTTTGACCTAAAACATGGAGATATGCGACTGTTGACTTTCCCCCACCTCATGAACCCCCCCCCCCCACACACACACACACACACACACACACACACTAAAGTTCCTCTAGAACAGGGGTCTGCAAACTTTAGGATCAAAAGAGCCATTTCTGTCCTTACATTCACTAAATTAAACGTGTTCAAAGCTGCAAAACCTGCTAAAATTGTCATTATCAACTGGTGGCCCATGGGCCACTTTAAGTTTATTAAAGGGGGCTCTTCTGGTCTGTAGGTGTGAAATTATAAAACTAAAAACATCCGATGATTAAGATTTATTATTTTTACATTTTAAGAAAAAAGACTAGATTCCATCCATGCATTGTCTTTACCCCTTTCTTCCTTTTTGGGTTGCAGGGGGTCACTGGTGCCCATATCCAGGTCACAAGACCACCAACACTGGATTCTTGTACAAAAAAACAAGATATTTTACCATTTAAAAAAATAAATAATGAACTGTTCAGGCTTGTTTTTTTTTTTTTTTTTGTGGAGGAATTGAGTATCGTACTTTGAATAAATAAACAATAAAGTTAAAGTGAGTATAATTTACTCTGTTTATTAGTATTTGTATCCACTTATTTACAAAGGAAATGACAGGAAAACTGCTAAAACTAAATTTTTTGTTGTTTATGTAACATCCAATAAAATTCAGTTTTATGTTGGTTTTGGTCAAAGCTTGAAAGAGCCGCTCGGGAGAGACCAAAGGGCCACATGTGGCTCCAGAGCCGCAGGTTGCAGACCTCTGCTCTAGAAACTTTGACGGGACTGCCGCATTGCGGCCATTTTTAACTTGACAGTGATTTCTGTCGGCTATCACTAAGCTAGCTAAGGCAGCCATCATGGATTTTTAATTTCCATGAGGAATATAGAACGACTCTCAGGTCTCTACTAAACTTCAGCTCATTATCTCAAGTCAAAACAGCCTAAAACATTCCCTGCTTTAATCCCCGGGACTATTTAATCTAGAGTATACAAGGTTTTTCTCGCAGTTCTGTTGGGTAAAAGTTTTACATTGAGTCGTGCGCAGACTTCTTCCTCTCTTTCTGAGTGAACGCGCGTTTTTCTTTTCTACAGTTCAAACTGACTCGAGGAGATTGAAGCTACTTTCAGTATCTATCTGCTGATGATTAACGCTTGTGGTGCAACTAAAGCATGTGCTGGTGTCAACGTACGGACGGGTGGCTGGACGACGCGTTCGTGTATGAAGGAGGTTGGATGTCCTCGGTACAAGTCTTTGTTGGATGTTTCCAACCAAACAAGTGCACATGAACATGCAGCTGTTGAACCAGAGCTCTGAACGTCACTAGATGTTCAGTAAACAAAAGTTGACTTGAACGTGTGTCGGTGAGGGACGCATGCTGTCAAACAGCAGCCATCGTCTATTTATAGTTTAGTGTCTTCACTTTAATTCAAGGTAAATTAAAAAGACCTCGACTTGCTGAAACCTGCGGTGTCTGGACCAAGAGGACATTTCAATAAACCTGCGTCCTAGTTTGTCCAAGTCCAAACGTTTTGTCCAGGAAATGTCGATGTAAAAAAAATAAAGCTGACGTTGTTAAATTGTGCCTCACACTGTGAGTGGCTGAGTGAAGCTCTATTTTAGGAATTAAGTTATTTTTTTTAATCTAGTCTATTTACAGCACAAAGATGTAAAAATCAGTTTCCTTGAACTGAAAGGGACACTTTTAAAATCTTTGGTTGCGTGCAGGCTCTTAATGATTCACAGACTCCTGCTGAGGGTTTTCATTGAGTTCATAAAGTTATAGAGGATTACTTGTCTCGCTCTTTGTAGCAAATAATTTAACCACAACAACTGCCTGTATTCTGTCCATCTGTATGAATACCACCTACTGTTAATCACACGATGGATGTAACGTGGTGCTGTGTCCCGTCTAGGGGCCACGACCGTCGCTGTAACCGGTAATTGTGTGTTTGGATCACTTCTAAACAAACGTTCTGTCCTCTTCCTGCAGCATCATCTGAGACTCAGCTAAGATGGCAGATATTGACAAGTAAGTACCGTGCGCTGCAGACGAAACGGTCTTCCCTCTGGGTTTGGGTCCCTGGCTGTCGAGGGCAGCAGCTGCGGCTACACTGATTTTAGCACGTTTAGAAAAAAGAAAAGCCGTTGGCTAAAAGTCGTGTGTTTGGGTGTTCCTCTTCAAGTGATCCGTGTTGTCACGTTTTCTCACACTGCACATGCTAAAGAAACGCGCAGACATCACGTCTGTAATGGAGTGATGCTTTCGTGAACGTTTCAACGCACAGATAGCATCTGACACACACACACATTCTGCTGCTGGCCATTGATTTCTGACCTTGTTCTGCAGAGGAGGATCACAGACTGCTTCGTGTTGGGGGTTGAACTGTGGTGCACAGCTTCACGGCTGAAAACAAACTGGTTTTGTCGTCTTTAAAACAAATAGTGATGATTAAAAACCTGCACGAATTAAAAAGTTATTAAACCAGAAGCTTCCAAAATCATGTTTTGATGGCAGTCTTTTGAAGCCAAGCACACTGCTAGTTACTAAAAAACCAAGTTGAGACTAGTTTAGTGATTATTTTGCACTCCACTGTCTGAAATGTTTTTCTGCATCTTGAGCAGCAAAGACCAGACTGAGATGGACCCAGCAGACATGGAGGATGTGGAGGACGTGGAGGAGGAGGAGACTGGAGAAGACGAAAACAGCAAAGGTTGGCTCACTCTAATATAATTGGAGTTATTTTCTAAACTCTACAGTGACAAATAAAAAAAACAAACCTCTGACTTCTTAAAATGTATTTCAGAATTAAAAGCCTCAGTATTTAGTGTTTATTTTCCGCTGTACACGTCGCACCGCCCTATAAGTCGCATCAGCCCAAATATGTCTGAGAAAGTGGAAAAATCCATAAATGCGTCGCATCTATTCCGCGTCGCCGCCGACAACCTGGACACGTGGGCCGGTGTTGTGCCAAAAATCGATTGGCTGCCAAATGGCAGCTGCGGGAGCGTACATGGGAGGACTTTAACAAGAATTTAACAAGATTAACACCTAAAAACACTTGTTTGCTCGACATTCTAACAAAGGTGTGTCTCAGTTGCACTTGTACTTGATAAATGCACGTCAATGGTCAAATCTGCTGCATTTCTCCGGGGCAGCGAAATGAAGTTGGTTTGACGTTTGCTCCAAGTGAGCAGGACGAAACGGGCTATGGTAAGCAGATTGTGTCATTAATAGCCACTTTTACCTATTGCATGACAAAACGGCATGCCGTACTGCTCGAGTGCCATCTTGTAACTGAAAATGTTAAAGTTCAATATTTTCAGTCACAATGAATGAAAGCGGTCATATCTCAAATCAAAAATTGGTTTTAAACGTGTGAAAAAATCCATAAAAAGTTGCTTCTGCGTTTAAGTCGCAGGGCATGCAAATTGTGCAAAATATTGCGCGACTTGAAGGGCGAAAAATGTGGTAATTTACAAATGGAAGGAGAAGGAAGAATCCATAGATGAATATAACACTGTCCAATGTTTAAACCTGATTTACACTTTTTACATCAAACTAACGATTAAATATTATCATTATGGGGAGTGGTGGCACAGAGGTTAGAGAAGGTGGGCCTGTGATTGGAGGGTCACCGGTTCAACTCCCTGGACCGACAATATCAAAATGTGTGTGGGATAGGTCAAGAACCCACACCTGCCTCCACCCTCATTCGCCCCACTCTGGACCCTTGAGCAAGGCCCTTAACCCCCTCCACCTGCTCTTCCTGGGTGCCCTAGCTGGCCGCTCTGCTCCACACAGAGGCTGTGGTAGCTCGGTGTCTGTGGTTGTGTCAGCAAGAACATGCAGTGTAAAAACTGTTGCAAAGTGTTGGTGTGAGCTCGTTCACTGTGGTGACCCCTGAAGAAGGAAGCGGCTGAAAGAATCATCTACACAACTAGAAGTGAAACTGGTGCTGTTAGGTGGGCTCCATCAGTCTGCAGGTGTTGTGGTTAATTTATATCCTCTGTTAAGGTCACCCCCCCCCCCCCCCCAACTCCACTGAGGTCTAGTAGATCCCTGCTGTAGCAGACAAGAAAATATTTATTTGGAGGTGCAGAGATTAGAAAAGGCGAGCCTGTGATCGTAAGTGCGCTGGTTTGAATCCTCAAACCATTGACGCCTCTCATGTGTTGGACCTGAATAATTCTGTAGAACGACCCACCGTTTAAAGTACTCCCAAACTTTAGACCCCTACAGATTTTGAAACTGTTTCCACCATAATTTAAAGCTGTAGCTCAACTGGTGGCGAAGGAAAAAACATTTCATTTCAGTGAAAAAATAAAAACATGCATTTATAAAAATGTTTTATTTTACATAAGATGGTGCACGGGTACGAACAGTCCAGTAAATGAACTCGTGCTCAACTATCCCTGGCAGCCTGGTACATCTTGTACCTTCTTTACTGTCTGGTGTTGTGAAATTAGATGCTTGACTCTAGTTTGATTCTAATTTATCATGGTCGCTGTAAGCGTTTGTGTTGGTGTCACTTGTGTAGAGCAACAAGGTTCGAGTGTTTGGAGGAACAGGTTTGCTTGAATAAATGTTTCTTCAAACATGTCAATATTGTGTTGACATGCTCCCTCATGTCAGAACTGGCAGCTGTCCTCGTTTCAGCGGAGGCTTTTTTTTTTTTTTTTTTTTTACCAACTAGAGCAAATTGTGTGAAAACAGCCAGCAGCTTGTAAACAGTGTTGTATATTCACTTCACCTCTTCCTTTTTATTTTTTGCTGGCAGAAACTCGTCAGAGCTTCATTAAGTGCAGTCACTGTGTTTATAAATGGACTTGTAGAACTCCTTTCTATCTGATCAAGACACTCAAAGCTCTTTACAACAATCTGTGCCTCATTTACCCGTTCATACAGCTCTATACTAGATCTCTACAAAGCTCATTGAACAAATCATTCTAAAGAGACTAATCAGAGCTTTATCACATTCATACACAGATGGGACACACATCAGAGGCGATGAGGGGTTCAGTGTCTTGCCCAGGGACACTTAGGCGTGTGACTGCTGGTGGAATCGAACCCCCAACTCTTATATTGGAGGACGACTGCTCTAACCACTGAGCCACAGCCGCCCCATTGAGACCACTTGTATAAATAAAGGTTAAAAAAATCACCGAACAAGTCACAGTTGGACCACTGAACTAAAGGTGGCAAGCTCTGACACGTAAAAATAATTTGAAGCAGAGGTTTTGAAAATTCTGTAAGACTTTGTCTGTACGTCCATAGTCGTGAAAAATGACTCGTGTGATTCTAAGCCCCTTGTCCTAAAGGTATTCCAAAGATTTTTGCGTTTGCGAGAAAGAGCCCAAAAGCTGGAAGTTGGACAGAAGAAGTAGCTGAACTATTTAACATGCTCCGCTCCTGTTGGTGGCATCATCCACATCTTTGCAGAAATTTAACAGGGACGACTGCTAAAACTTGCTTTTCCTGTTGTGGTTATAAATAATAAGAATAAATTTAAATATGAAGTCCGTTTTGATCAAAGCTTCAAAGGGCCGCAGGGGAGGGACTGATGTGGCCCCGGAGCCGCAGGTTGCACACCACTGGTATAGGCTGATATTTGTTGTTACTCGAACAGACAGAAGTGAGGATGTTTGGTAAGATCACGATGATGAAGCACATACTCTGAGATGAACTGTGAACTGTCTGTTCGTCCTGTGTTGAGCCAAATAACTTCAAGTGAGTTTCAGTGTGGCTGCATCTAGGAGGGTCCCATCAAAAATTAAGCTGACACACACCAGCCATTTAAGGAAACTATGCTTGTTAGTTTCTATATTGCTTAAAATCTATTTTTTTCAGAAGACGAGCGGCAGAATATTAATCTGTAGGCCGAGGCCACACCCCCTGGCTCAGCCATTGCACCTAGTTGTGGATAAAACTGCTCCCTCTGTTCATCAGGAACCGTCGGTGCACTGGCTCACACGAGAAAAACAAGCCTCCCTCTGTTCTCCTCCACGCTGCAACTCCTGCCCACTTGAACGTGCGGCACCAAAAACACTAAGGTTTACCTTTTTCTCTGTTCAGTTACAGTCGAGACAAACGCTCGTCTAAAAACTTAACGGTCACTGTTCAAACCCCTCATCATCATCATCATCGAGAGAGAGACCTCGGCGTATCGTTTCTAAATTTAAAGTTCTTTGATCTTGAATCTTGTTTTTGTGCCTTTTTGGTTATAGTCTTGTAAATATCACGTTTGGAGTTCGTTTTAAACAGGTTTTATTGTACGAAGAATAGAGTTGTTGCAAAATAAAAAATGTTAGTTTGCCCCAAACGAAGCACGTTTTTTTACTGAATCAAACTTTGTTCCGGGTCTCGATCTTTTCTCCCCTCCACCCCCCATGTGTTGAACTCTTGTTGTCGTTTGTCAGCGGCTCGTCAGCTCACGGTGCAGATGATGCAGAACCCACAGATCCTGGCTGCGTTGCAGGAGAGACTCGACGGTCTGAACGGCTCGCCGTCCGGCTACATGGAGAGGTAAGAAGGGACTCATCTGGTGAAAACGTTCTCAGTGGAACTTGTTGGAGGAAAGTATCCTCATTTTCTCTTACTCGCACGAAAGGAGCGACGCTAAACAGCAGGAGATGTTTAACCACTACAGTAGTCCCTTGTTTACCGTGGGGGGTTCGTACCCTGAAGACCTGCGATAAGTGAAAAATCACCAAGTAGGAATAGTAGTACAAGTACTAGTTTATTTTAGTCTATATGTAATAAACATGTTTTAAACCCTTCCCATACTCGTGCAATATTCTAAACAATGTTTCTGAACGCTCTAAAAGCACAGAACGTCATGATCTCAGCTCCCTGCCTCCGCTGCTCTTAGCCCCTCAAGTGTTCTCAGCCACGCCCACTTCTCCACTCTGCACGGAGATCAGCTGCAGCGGGAAGTTTATCCTGCAGTGTGGGCTGCACAAAGGTGCAGGAGGCGCTAAGTAATTTAAAATACACGCAAATAAACATGAAAAATTCCCCAACAAAACTGTTCAACTCTCAGTTTACAGCTTTATTGCTGCAATTCATTTTCTCAGGAGGAAATTGGAGACGAAGCCAAACAGCCCCCATGTGACTGGTCTCCAGCAGACGGTGTTTAAAATCTTGAATAAAATAATTGCTAGAAAGATCTTTTAAGCAGAACCTCCTGTAAAACGGTTGAGATGCTGTAACAATCTGTCGACTGCAGGGCTGTGCCACCCACTGCTCCTCTTTTACTGACGAGCTAACCAGCTACACCCCTGCTCTGAGACCAAGCGCTTTGCTGTCAGGGGACTCCGTATAGACCTGTTAGATGAAGTGAACCCAAGTGGAATAGTTTGGACTTTTTAGTACACATAATGTACTGTTTAGTTTGTGACGTTAATAGAATTAATGAGTAGGAATGATTGCCTGCACGTACCGTGGGCTGTTGTACTTCCTGTCATCTCGGACTGCTCGCCGCCTACGACGAGCAGTCCGTGTGAATGAAACATCTTAAAGTCCAGAAACTACTGAGGAAAACCTGAGTTTTGTTTTAATGTGAAGCTGAGAGCCCTGCTCACATCCTCCTGTGTTTTGTATTTTCAGTTTACCAAAGGTTGTAAAAAGACGCGTAAACGCCCTCAAAAACCTGCAGGTTAAATGTGCACACATCGAGGCCAAATTCTACGAAGAGGTCCATGAACTGGAGAGAAAGTACGCAGCCCTCTACCAGCCGCTTTTTGACAAGGTAAGCCTGTGTATTTGTATTTTATTCAGTACTCTGTGACGCAGCGTTTCTGAAGCTCTTTGCACGTCGTGCTCGTCAAGTGAACACGTTTCTGAGCGTACGGTTTTCATTTTATGTGATGAACGCTTCACTCAGTTCATGTTTAGTTGGATGTTTAGGCACCTCACGATTAATGTGGATTATTTTACATAAACTCTGACGTGAGCATAACAAATGCATAATCCCACATGATGAAACAAACCCTATAAATCCAGGCTGTTGACCTGGGGATGACCGTAAAGACTCTTGGCATTGTTTCGTCACTGAATTTAATATAAAAATGAAACGTTTCAAAGAGCAGCATGTTCTCGTATCTTCAGGGTTCATCCAAGAGCTGCGTTGTTTTAACTGAAGCAGCTTTCACAGCTCAGCTGCATGGAAAGTGACTCTTGAAGTGGCAGATCACATTCCATCCTTTATCTTTACATACTTCTTCCTTTTCGGGTCATGGGGGTCACTGGTGCTTGTATCCAGCAGTCACTGTGTGAGAGGCGGGGACACCCTGGACAGGTCTCCAGTCCATCACAGGGACAAATGAGACAAACACTCTCTCTCACCTAGAGACAATTTAGAGTTACCAATCAGTCGAACATGCATGTTTTTGGTGTGTGGGAGGAAACTGGAGTACCTGGAGGAAACCCACGCATGCACGGAGAGAACATGTAAACTCCACCCAGAAAGACCCCCCGCCAGGATTTTAACCGATGACCTCTCTGAGAGGCAGCAGCCCTACCAACTGAGCCACTGTGCCACCGGCAGCACAAACGTTAATCAATGTTTGACAGATCGATTCAGAATCTGCTAAATAACCTTTAATGTGCATCAGCTGGTAAGTGTGGTTGTTCAGCTCCACCTGTTTTCAGTCTTGAATGCGAGACGTTACAGAATTGATATTTTTAGCTTCAGTCTCTTTAATTTTATAAATTCCCTCCTTTTGGCATCAGACGGCATCATCGGTGTTGACCACTGTGTTTAACAGACGGTCTGTGGTTTTTATTTTGGATTTATCACTTTTCATCTCTGCAAACTTGTCGCTTTTCAGCCAAAATAGTTGATTTGAATCAAAAACGCGTCGTTTACGTGAATGGTCTGTCTGAAGTTTTTCCAGGGGAGGGGCGGGGCAGAGGGCATAATTGAATTTACGCAGCGCTTCATAAATGGCACTAGCTAGCGCGCAACAAAACTCGCGTTAGCTCATAAGCACCACTTGTGTAGTGCTAGCGTAGCACTACGTAAATGGTGGTAGTTATCGACCGGGGGGTTGGGGGTTAGAATGCGGCACAGGTAACTCCCCCCCCCCCCCCCCCCAGACTTTAGGTTTGTCACCTTTCAACAATTTCCTGCAGGATCAGTAAAGTTCTGTCTTGTCTCATCTTGATCCTTTGTGAGTGTGCAGGTATGACTGTTGGTCACATGTCTCATCATTTGTGCTGTTAAACTCTTTTAAATGTTTTGTTGTTGTTGTTGTTCTGTTTTCCCTCCAGAGAAGTGAAATAGTGACGTCGGCGTATGAGCCCACAGATGAGGAGTGTGAATGGAAGGCTGATGAGGAGGCAGAGCTGACAGTAAGTAAGCAGGTACAGGTGACGTCTACGCACACACCTGCATGCTTCATGTTGTATTCAACGTTCTTCATCCGTCCTGCATGCAGCTGCTAATAAACACACGGAGCGGCGCTGATGAAACCTTTCAAAATGTTTGTTTTGAATCAGGATGAGATGAAGGAGAAAGCCAAGTTAGAGGAGGAGAAGAAGGATGAGGAGAAAGAAGACCCCAAAGGCATCCCAGAGTTCTGGTTAACAGTTTTCAAGAACGTGGACCTGCTCAGTGACATGCTGCAGGTACGAACAGAAGCCGACTTCAGTGGAGTCCAGATCTGCCTCCACCTGCTGGCAGAACTTCATACGAACCATTTGAGCCTAAAATGAAACGAAACCTGCCTTTGTCTTGTTCAGGAGCACGATGAACCCATTCTTAAACATTTACAAGATATTAAAGTGAAATTCTCCGATCCTGGACAGCCTATGGTGAGTGAGCGACCGGTTCTGCTGCTTTGCTCCAACTGTGGGTGGAGTTTAAAGTTGTCTTCTGTCCCCAGAGCTTCACGTTAGAGTTCCACTTCGAGCCCAACGAATTCTTTACAAATACAGTGTTAACAAAAACCTACAAGATGAGGTCAGAACCTGACGAGACCGACCCGTTTTCCTTCGATGGACCAGAGATCATGAGCTGCACAGGGTGAGGCTAGAACCGACCGTAGACCTGGACCACGTCGGGTTCCTGCTCCGTTTTATTTTCCCAAGCTTTTCATAGTTCTGCGTTGAGCTGAAATAGTCTGGGAGTGTGTAAGCGTCGAGACGAGCGAGTCATTTGGGTTTTCGAACGTGGTTCTTGCTGGAAGCTGACGTTTCTTCCCACCGCTCGTTTTCCTGAACAGATGCACGATCGACTGGACGAAAGGGAAGAACGTCACGTTGAAGACGATCAAGAAAAAACAGAAGCACAAGGGCCGTGGGACAGTGAGGACCGTCACCAAAACCATCCCGAACGACTCCTTCTTCAACTTCTTCACCCCCCCAGAAGGTTCGGCTCCCGTCACTGTTAATAGATTGATTTTATCTTTTTATTTTAATTATGTTTAATACGTTTTGTTTTTGTTTACAGTTCCAGAAAATGGCGAGCTGGTAAGTCTGTTTCCTGTTGAATCAGTTTTTCATGCTTCCTTGATGTTTTCAACATGTTTTTCTGACATTGGGCTGTTTGGGTCTTTAACTGTAGCCTGCAGGATATGAGGAAAACTTAGTTTAATTTTAAAATTTGTGTTTGTTGTGAAACTCCTGTCGTCATCATCATCATCAAAACAAACCAGGTACAGTGTGTAGACCTGACAAGTGATTGCAGCATAACATGAAGCATCCTGTGTTCTTTATGTTGATACTAATATTGAGAGTAAACATTAATTTATTGTGCAACTCTCTGGAGTATTTTCCCCTAAGCTGTGGTGCGTTCACTGACTGGAATAAACATCGTTCCAACTGCCACTGGTCAGGCTGAAAGCAGCTCCGTAACAAACTGATGCATTCCTAAAATCTGCACTCTTCTGACTCTTGAGCTTTTCTAGATTTCAGACCAGCCTTTGAATTGTTAAAACCATCAAAAGTCCTCTGGTGTAGAAAAACTTTTTTTTTTTGTCCTGTGTCGTGGAGCAAAAAGGGGAACTGGGTATACCTCAGTCTGTCCACGAGTGCTGGGATCATAGCTTGAAAAATAAGTTGGGTGCTGACTTCAGATTTGGTGTGTGGCTACATCTAAGTGTAAGAAAGGTCATTATCAAAAAATATGTGGCCAAGTTAAAATCCAAGATGGCCACCACATGAATAAATGTCAACCAGTTACTCTTTGGTTTATTTGGTTTACAGCCCGACATCAGAAAAATGTTTAAAACATTTGAGGAAGCTATGCCTTCTAGTTTTTTATTGCTTTCAGTGTTTCCCCACCGTTATCCAAGGGGGGTGCCCCGCCCTGTCAACAGAACGAGCATCCTGCCTACACCCACCCCCACCCCACCCACCCAAAAAAATGGCACTAAAGTAGCAGTGCACATTACAGACACACTAGCAAAAACAAAAATGCTACCGACGTAGCGCTCCACCAAGGTAACGGATCTCGGGGATAAACACTGGCTTTAAAGTAGTTTCCTCAAATGCTCCACCGTTGTGCCTGGTGGTGAAGAGAATTGAACCCTCCACTTCCTGCCTCATACAGGCAAAAAGAAAAAACACACTACTTCAGTGTAACTTGTAATCACTTGCATATCTTGCACCAAAAACATTTACCGTATTTTCTGCCGTACATGTCGCATCAGTGCAAATATGTCTAAAAAAGGTGGAAAAATCCATAAATGTGTCGCTTCGCCGTTTATACGTCACCGAATTTGTTTTCTCGAATTTATATTAAAATTGTCTCAGTTGAACATCTACTTAATAAATGCACTTTCATGGTCAAATCAGCTTCATTTCGCTGGGGAGGTGCAGTTAAATGAAGCTGATTTGACGGTTGCTCCAGGCAGACAACTGTGGCAGGCTATGGCAAACAAATTGTGTCATTAATAGCCACTTGTACCCATTGCATGACATAACGGCATGCCGAACTACTCGAGTGCTATCAAGTGGCTGAAAATGGTATTGTTCAATATATTCAATGTCAGAATGAATGAAAATGATCATGTCTCAGCCAAAAATTGTTTTATAAATATGGGAAAATCCATAAATACGTCACTTTGGCGTATAAGTCACAGCACATGTAAATTATGCAAAAAAAACTTTTACTTATAGTGCGAAAAATACGTTAACTTTCATTCCCTGTTCAGTTCCAGTCCAGAAACACTCTCCTGAGAGATGCCAACATTCACTACTCAAATTCTTCAGCAACAGTGGACATTGGCATACTTGAATGTTTATTTAAAAATCCACTGAGATTAGGGATTAGTTATTGATTTTAAAGACTTTCCCCTCCATCAAGCTGCACTTTCCCATCTCATGGCAATGGCACGTTTGTGGCAGATCAAAGCTGATTCATCAGTTTGTTCCTGCTTTCTATCGTTTTAAACTTTGTAAGCTGTTTTCTTTTTGGATTAAAGAGTTGGTGGTATATGGAACAAAGGCACACTCTTAATTTTTAATCCCAGCAGCTGATAGGTGACACCCCTGAAGGAGCTCTGCTCTCCATGGAGGAGCAGCAAAGCTCAAACTGTTTGACTCGTTGTGTTTCAGGATGAAGACTCCGAGGCCGTGCTAGCTGCAGATTTTGAGATTGGCCACTTCATCCGCGAGCGCATCGTACCGCGAGCTGTGCTGTACTTCACGGGGGAGGCCATAGAAGATGACGATGACGACGTGAGTGTGGCTCTCTGACCACTTGGCTGAACTTTGTTGAATATGGGTTCATCAATATGGATTTGTTTTATCGCAGTATGATGAAGAGGGAGAAGAAGCAGATGATGAGGTGACTATTGAAGCATGGCTGTAATGTGTTTATGAGATGGTGTTGAGGGAGTTCAGTTTACTGAAGCTGTCCTTTTATTAGGAAGGAGAAGAGGAGGCTGATGAAGAGAACGACCCAGACTATGACCCCAAGGTGAGAACACATGGTCTTGACTTCCTGTAAAGGGCTCTGGTGTCCTCAGAGCTTTGCTCAGCAGTTCTCCATGTCTCCGTTTACTGTCGGCTGTGGAAGGTTGTGGTTAATCCAGAACCGTCCACAGGTCAGTAGCACCTCTGCAGGCGGGCTCTTGAAGTTCTGACCTGCAGGTGGAGAACAGCTGGTAAACCTCTCAGAACCCATCATTTACAATACATGCCGTCAGATTCATCTCATTAAATGCCAGCTTTGGATTGCTTTACCTTTTAATGTGACTTGCACCCGCCCCCCAAGTTATTTATTTTGTTGTTGTTGCGCTCCAGGATTTGTAGTACAGTAGTCCCTCGCTACTTCGCAGTTTGACTTTCGCAGACTTGCACTATCGCTGTTTTTCAAAATAAGATTGGACATGACACACAGCTGGCTGATTGATGGATGAGCTGCATGATGGGCATGGATTTTTATTTAAAATAAATTTGTTTAGCACCTGTGTGCAGCCCACAGGTGCAGGGAGAAGCTCCCTGCTTCAGCATGTCAGGATCTCTGCTCTGCAGTGGAGAAGTGGGCGTGGCCGAGAGCACTGGCAGGTGGCAGAGAGAAGCTCATGACACTCTGTGTCTTTTAGAGCGTTGAGTTTAGAATATTGCAAGAGTGTGGGAAGAGTCCCCACGAGGAACCACTGTACGTCCTTAAAGTACACGTAAAAATATCCTGATGCATGCTCAAACCTACAAAGTTTGTCTGAAGTTAAATCGATCCAGTTTGGCTTTAAAATGAAACCAGCCCAAACATTTTAAATAAACAGGTGCTTGGGCTGAGACTAGTTCATGGTGAAAATCCAAAATATCCCAGATCTTGTGGATAAATTGCAGACAAGTTTAAGAACAGGTGAGTTATTTAGAAGCACGGCTTCTTTTCCACCCTGTGTGTACTTCTGTTAGCATCATGCTAAGCTCCCAGAGCTGCTGTTTTTAAAACAAGTTGAGCTCTCGAGGGCACAAATATCATTCACTATGATTAAATATTTCTATGTATGCTTACCACTTGAAGGTCCTCAGTCATGAAGTGTTTGAACGTCTTGTGGCTTTGAGGGATGTTTCACATTAGACATGATGTAATCCCATCATGGAAACGCCAGTTGCTGCATGGCAGGTTTTTATTCCTGCGGGTGGAAACCTCAGGATTAAACCCAGTAGTTTGCAGTGGATGATGTTTCAGGTGGTGAACCAAAGTTTGAGTCCCATCTGCTTTTTGTGGCACTGCTTTGAAGATTACTCGGATACCAGTGATGGTTTGTCTTTAAAAACTTTGACCAGGTGTCAGATGATGGATCCAGTTCTCCCACTGCCTCCAAAACAACTTGTTTTAGTTTACCATTTCTGACTGTTGCTAACACCACTGGTCTGTCGTCTTCTGCAGGCAAATGTGGCTCGAATTGATTTATTTTCTTCTTTTATACCCATATCTGATCTCCCCCCTAATCTGACCCCGGTCTTGTTCATAGGTGGTACTGAATCAGATCCATATGTGATGTGAGCAATCATGTCTCCTTGTATCCGACAGTAGGGGTGAGCGGATCGATCCAAGTATTGATAATATTGATACCAACCTCGTGCAGTTGAAATCTTAGAGCTTCATCTACAGAACAGAGTCCAGTTGTTTGTCTTTGTTCTTTTAATTTCATGTCCTGGATAACAGAGAATCTACAGCAACATACACTGCCTGCCCCCCAAAAAAATTTGCCACCAAAAAAAAAAAAAGTCGCACTAATATTTAATTGGACCTCCTTTAGCTTTGATTACATCATGTGTTCACTGTGACATTGTTTTGATAAACTTCTGCAATGTCACAAGATCTGTTTCCATCCAGTGCTGCATTAATTTTTCACCAACATCTTGCATTGATGACTAGACGCTAGTCATGATGGGTGCATCACTTCACCTGCCTCTTTTCCTATCCTGATGCACCCATCCCTCTGGAACAGGGTCAATCTGGACTCATCAGACCACATGACCTCCTTCCATTGCTCCAGAGTCCAATCTTTATGCTCCCTAGCAAATTGGAGCCTTTTTTTCCCAGTTAGCCTCACTGATTAGTGGTTTTCTTAAGGAAACACGGCTGTTCAGTCCCTAGAGTTCCCTTCACACTGTATGTGTGTGGAGATGTTCTTACTTTCACTATTAAACATAGCCCTGAGTGCTGCTGGTGTTTTTCTTTGATTTGATTTCACCAAACGTTTTAAGTGATCACTGATCACAATCATTCAGGAATTTTTTCCCCGCCACATTTCTTCCTCGAAGACTATGGGTCCCCACTATCCTTCCAGTTTTTAATAATGCGTTGGACAGTTCTTAACCCAGTTTTAGTAGTTTCTTCAAACTCCTTAGATGTTTTCTCTGCTTGATGCCAATGATTTGACCCTTCTCAAACAGACAACATCTTTTACACGACCACGCCATGTGTCTTTCAACATGGTTGTTTAAGAAATGAGAAGCAACTCATTGCACCAGTTAGAGATAAATAACTTGATGCAGCTGAAAGATAATCACCCATGCAGTAATTATCCAATAGGAGGCTTGTACCTATTTGCTTAATTAAATGCAGGTGGTGACTTGTTTTTGGCCAGACAGTGTATGATGCTAACGTTCGTGTTGGACCACATCGATATTAATGGGCTCAGTAATTGGATTTATTTTCATCTTCTGTGCGTCGCTCCTCTTCAAGAAATACAAAACTGCAGTGGAGGAGCTGTCAAGAGGAAAGACTGGGGAAAAATGCACACATGCTAACATGTGTAGCATCCATATTTACTTTAAACTCTGCATGTGACGTCACGTTTTCTTCTGCCTCAGGACTGTTGATGGTTCACGCTGGAGTCTGATGGTCACATTTGAATGATGGTGTGAACGATCAGTGAGCAGAACATCGAGCATCAAGACCTGCAGTGTGAAGTCAGTCTTCGGAAGATGTGCAGTCAGCGGCTGCAGTACTGCAGTTTAATACTTCTGCAGACTGATGCACAATACTTTTAGTACTTTTATATACATTACCCACTAGGAATGAAATGGTTTGAGAGGGGGAGAAAAATGTAACCGTGTTTTTGTTCAAGGCGTGTGAACTGTTTGGTTTGACATAAAAAGTTTTGAGACAGAGCTCAGATCATAAAGCATTTTATTTTATTTAACATAGATTGTATAATCTATAGTTGTATTCTTAGTGGTGACACATGGGATTTTCTCCTCAGCTTATCACGCTGTTTGCTAGTCTGCTCAATGCACGAAACATGAACCAGAACCAAACCGTGAGTCTTGGATCGTGCAAACAGTCCCACCTCTGCTGCCCAGGGAAGTTTGACTTCTGCTGCTGCTGAGCTCAAAGATCGTCTGACAATCTGTTCTCTGCTCATTTTGCTTGTACATTTTTCTATTCATTGTTTCATCTTGAGTCACTTTTGCATGTTTTGTCAGCTACTCTCTCAAATTTTTCCTCACTAGGTTTAAATGGTGACAGTAGAAAAATAACCTTGTTCTGGTAGGTACAGTTTGACTTGTCAGCTGATTTAATGACACGACATCCCTCATGTCACTCCTGCAGTTTGGCTTGGGTTTTGCTTTACTTGTTTTTCATCCACCGTCTCTCCCCTACACACACACACGAGCACCTCCTTCTCTGCCACCGCCCTGCACTCTCGTTACTAACCCACTGGTTTGTTGTTGGTTTGGTTAAAAGTTTAATCCATAATGACGTCACCGTTTGCACTCGTCTTGTTTTTGTATCTCAACGCTCGTACAGCCCTCTCTTCTTTGTTCTCATGGTGATATTGTCCTCTGCAGGCTAATTTGTGACTTTTGTTAGCATGTACACACATTGATCTGTTGAAACACTTTTCTCTATTTACACAACTTCTGATAAACCACACACAGAGTTGATCTGATGTTGCTATCACAATCTGTTTTAGTGTATAATGTGAGACGTGCCACTTCAAGTAATAAACCATTTTGCAGATGCCCAAAACTTAAAGCACAACTGAAATATGCAGAGTGCTATAACAAAAAGTTTTTTTGGTCTTCTTTTTGTCCCCATTGTGGAGCAAAAAGGAGAAATTGGAAATATTGTCAGTCTGTGTGTGCATGCTTTCAGCATGATAACTTGAAAAATTAATGCAGTATCGACTTCCAATTGGATGTGGCTGCATCTTTATATAATAATAATAATAATGTCATCACAATGTCAGCACTGTATGTTTCCATACAATGGCGAAATTAGTCTCTGCATTTAACCCATCCACCACCAGGTGGTGCAGTGGGCAGCTATTGAAAGCGCCCGGGGGTCATTTTGGGGATTAGACGTGCTGCCCAGAGACGCCACGTGATGTGCAGTGACTGGGGATCGAACCTGGGACTCTCGGGTCCCAAGCCGGCTGCCCTGCCTCTACACCATCTCGGCCCCATATTGCTTTAAAGCAAAGTTTCATGATATAATTAAGGGGCCAAAGATTAATCTATGGTGTCCACCCCCTGTCTCCACCATTGCACCTGGTCAAGAATAAAATTGCTCCCTCCCCTAGTATCCATCACTGTTCTGCCTGGGACAAGAAAAATAAAAACCTACCTCTGTTCCTACTGATCTGAATACCTTGACCCGAAAACATTTACTTGCATTCCTTGTTTAATTTCTGTTTTTAAAAAACTTGAAACTACAAAAACCCACTGTTCATGTTAAAGCCCGACCGACGTGGCTATTGTTGATTCCGATATTTGGAAGGACAGGTGTATGCCAATAACGGATATAATGAAACCTTTTAAGCTTTGTCCACCCCCAAGAATCTGAAAACCGTGAGTGGAGCGGGGCTTTTTTATTTAGCACAGCTGTTAGCAACCATGAAGCTAAGCTAATCAGATCCACGCTATACCTAGTCCCACAGAAGGTTTACAAGTTACTGGTCATAAAAACAGTCTAACGTGCGTTCACATTTTCTATCGTCCACTATTCACCATAAAGTTATCAAGTGTGTTAGAAAAATATAAATTAAACAAAGAAACGGTCTTCCCTGCTCATTGTTTAGTCAGTCACGTACGGTGAAGGTCTAATTAGTAATGACTGCAGCAGTGTTTATTTGTCTTTGTAGAGAAGATTTCAGACAAACTGCATTTTATTGAGGATGACAAAGATAACGTTACTAACACGGATATATTTTACCTCTACGTTAGATTTATTGTTCTGGATAAAGTTTTACAAGGCAATAGCCTGTGCTAGGTTATCTAAACGTTAGCTTGCTAAATTGAGAGGCGTGTAGCTAATGACAAGCGGGTTGGAGGATTGAAGATAATTTATTTATTTTTATTTTTTACAGATCAGTTGAAACAAATTTACTGTTAAGTTTTGGCAGCGTTGCTCAACAGTACATGTGTATGAAGCTAGTACCACATGAAACCTGAAACTCATCACGACAACCTTTGACTGGCACAAAGAACTAAAATGCAAACCCAGCAGCAACAATGCGTACGCGTTCGTAAAAATTGAGCTTTGCGTGGGCATGCCCTGCGGGCGTCCGCTTCGACTCTTAATTCAGTACGTGTGGACTGACATACGCAGAAGTATACTGGCGGCTATAGTCTCTGTTGGCCTGGGTCTTTCCCGTGGTCTTCTCCAAGTTGGACATGTCTGATGCACCTCACTAGGTAGGCACTCAGGGAGCATCCTTACCAGATGCCCGAACCACCTCAACTAGCTCCTCTCGATGTGGAGGAGCAGCGATTCTACTCGGTCTCTCCTGATAACTAAACTTCTCACTCTGTCTCTAAGGGAGAGTTCAGCTACCCTGCAGAGGAAACTCATTTCAACCGCTTGTATCCACGATCTCATTCTTTTGGTCACTACCCACAGTTCATGACCATAGGTGAAGGGAGGAACGTAGACTGACTGGTAAACGGAGAGCTTTGTCTTACAGCTGAGCTCCCTCTTCACCACAACAGACCGGTACAGAGTCTGCAATACTGCAGATGCTGCACCAATCCGTCCTCTTCCCTCACTCGTGAACAAAACCTCGAGGTACTTGGAACTTCTCCACTTGAGGCAGAACCTCACCCTCAACCTGAAAAAAGCAGTCCACCTTTTTCTGACTGAGGACCACGGCCTCAGATTTGGAGGTGCTGATTCTCATCCCAGCCACTTCAAACTCTGCTGAGAACCGCTTTAGTGAGAGCTGAAGATCACAGCTCAATGACACCAACAGGACCACAACATCTGCAAAGAGCAGAGATGGAATCCTGAGGCCACCGAACCAGAAACCCTCCACCAGCTGGCTACACCAATAAGTTCTGTCCATGAATGTTATGAAGAGAATCTGTGATGACGGGCAGCCCTGAAGGAGTCCATCTCCCACCCTCAAGGGGTTTGAGTTAATTTCGGCAATGTGAACCAAACTCTTGCACCGCCTGTATAGGGACCAAACAGCCCATAGGCCCCCAATCCCATATTCATGGAGCACCCACTACAGTGGACCTCGAGGAATATGGTTGAATGCCTTCTTTAAGTCCACAAAACACACGTAGACAGGATGGGCAAACTCCCATGACCCCTCAAGGACCCTAGTGAGGGTAAAGAGCTGGTCCAGTGTTCCACGGCCAGGACAGAACCCACATTGTTCCTCTTAGATCTGAGGTTTGACCAACAATCGGGTTTGCTTCTCCAGTACACCTGAATGGACCTTGGAGGCTAAGGAGAGTGATGCCCCCCTCCAGTCCCCCCTTTGTGAAGAGGGGAACCAACACCCCAGTCTGCCAGTCCGGTGGCATTAAATTTGTTTACCTAAATCAACTCTACCAACAACATGCAGAGCTCAGGTTAATGCTCATTGATGTCACAGCTCTAACATTTAGTTTCTCTTTAACCTCGCCCAGACTCTGCAGAGCATTAAATGTTATTTATTCACACAAACATTCACTTCCTGTTAAATTCTTCATGCACTATGTAGGAGTACTTTTTAATCTTGCTTGATGAGCACATTCAAGAATTCAAGGTTCTTTATTTGTTCCGCCACATGTGGTACATGTGGTGGAACAAAAATGTATACACATGGTCCCAGTTACATCCAACTAAAGTATAAAATGTAAAACAGTAATAAGATCTAAGATGTGAACCAACAAAAACATTAACTAGAAATGCACTAAGCACTAGTAGAACAAAAATAATACACTGAACAGCTTTATCTCTGCAATACGCTGCAGGGGCTAAAATGTAAAGCTCTGATCCTCCTCTTCCTCTGTCCACCCTGACGGTTCAGCTCCAAGCCCAGAAAGATTAGATGCACATGGAGTCATTTGAACGCTGTCTGCATCCCTTTTCTTCTTCTGTTAAACATCTGTGTGTGACGGACTGTACAAGAGTTACTCAGCTGAGAGGCACGAAATTATATTAATCTGCCACAGCACAACTTCCAAATGAACTTCCTTTTCACCTTTTTTCCTTCCTTCTTTCCATCTCTCTTCTTTTCAGCCTTATTTCTTTTATCTTTCTTCCTTTTTTCTTGTTTTCTACTAAAATCACTGTCCATAAAACATATATTTGTTGTACCATAATAACTCATGCTATGTGCTGGTAAGCAGAAGAATCCAGTCTCCAGACTTGGACTGAAAGACACTAAGGCTAGATCCAATATGAGAATTTTGCAGAACACCTGTCATCCACATGCAAACGTTTTAAGACAAATCTCGCTGCAAAGTGTAGCTTTTACTGAGAGCAGCAAATAAATTTTGAGTAATCGGATTTATTTTGTGTAATGAGCATCTAGTTGAACAATAATCCAGTTAATGGAATATTTCACCTCTGTTGTGGAAAATGTGTGAATTTTTAAAATGCTAAAATTATTCACACCTACTGGTTTGGAATGTGTATTTTTATTTATTACTTTTTAACCAATGGGGGAATCGGGTGTGTGTGTGGGGGGGAGGGGGGGGGGATAACAACTGCAGTTGGTTCCCAGATGTGCTGATATTCATAAAGTGTCCTGATTGGACAAATGATAAAAGGACAAAAAACCCTCCAGTTTTAAACCAACACATTAAAGTAGGTTTTTTTTGTATGCGTTAAAAAAAAAAAAATCCAAGTAACTGATGTAGAAAAATTACTTTGCTTGGTTGTAATGCACCTTATCTTTATTTGACTTGAAATAAAATTGCTTTGTGTCACATTAACAGCTCAATTGTTATTAAAGCTAAAAACTGAACTGTACTGAGTTTAACATGACATCTTACAGTAGTGTCTATTGGCTGCTCAAGTATCTTTAAACTGATCGTTTGCGTTGGATCAAGATGCACAGAAGTGCACAACCTTAGCCTTGATTGGCACCTAAATGTTAGTTTTGTATTCTAGGTAAAACATACACGTAGAAGTATCTAATCATCTCACTGTGCATAAGTGAAACTGCCACCATCTTTCGGTTGTTTGCACAACAGTAAATTGGAAGAAAACGGGTTATTAGGATCCCACCTGGTGTCTTGCATGCTTTAAACATCAAAGGTTTGACGTTCATAAAGCAGGTGCTTATTATCACGTCATAATGTGGTGTCCGGTTATTGGAGGGACTGAGCAGATATTTAGGGATTCCTTCTGTAGGTTGGCTAATGAGATGAGAACTGCTCATGGTTTTACTGGAAACAGTGGGGACCACTTCTGTCCACAACAGAATACATCCCGTTAGTCCTGTGTAACATTGGGGTGGGCGATAAGGCTCAAACATATCGTGATATTTCAGAGCATTCTGACGATAACGATAAATTTTGTGAAATAACAAAAAACGAACAGAAATCATAGTTATTCATTTGACAAAATTAACTTGACATGTTGCTTTGCAGTACAGTAGACCCTGGTTTATCACAGGGGATCCGTACCCTGAAGACTCGCAATAAGTAAAGGGAAGAGGCAGCGTGAGCGATGCCTTAGCTTTGTAGCTAGCTAGTATTGCGCGTCCCCGGTACAGACAGGTGGGGGGTGCGCAGTTCAGTACAGAAGGCAGCGCGCTCTGTTCTGTTAACATGGTAAGGGAACCACTGACGTATTGATGCCATGAAATTAGGTTTTCATGATCTAATTTATTTTCCCGGGCAAGTTTTTTTTTGTTGCTGGTATTATGATCGATATGAAATATGACTTGGCCCTAGTGGAACACTACCCAAAATTCAAATATAAAAGTATTCTTACACACAAATTTAAAGCCCCATTAATAAAACTATTTAACATTTTTACTATTAGAACATTACAATTAATCTGTTAAGGAACCACTTCTTTTAGCTGCTGGACACAAATGATCTTCACCAACTGCAGTGGTTTGTCTTCCAAACAGCAACTATAGTATCCTCAAAAGAAATATGATTATCATCAGCAAAAGTTTGAACTGCCTGCAGCCAGCCCATATTAGTCCAAGATGGACAATGGTCACCATGTGCATACATCATTGTGCTTCAGTCCTGAACAGGACGTCGTGGTCCCACCAGTTTGTAGCTGCTTGTTGAATGTTGAGTCTTTAAGTGGTTTTGGTTGAGTGTAGTTTTGTTTTGTATCGCGGCAGCGTGTGTGACGTGTTCCCGGTCTTAACCTACCTCCCTGCTGTGATTTCTTACAGAAGGATGCAGCCCCCCCAGCCGAGTGCAGGCAACAGTGAAGCCTCTCCGGCTGCCCTGAGGATCAACTGCACTGTAACTGCTTATCAAATTAAAAAATGAAAGAAAAGAGGAAAAAAAATAGTTCTCGCCTTATAATGTTTTGTATTTTTCTTGGTAGGGAATTTAAAGAATAAAGTTCCAGATTTTTGTTACAAGAACAATGCTAATATACCGGGAGCTGTTTGGCTCACTATACATAGTATTTTATTAGACTGATTTTCTTCCTTCTCTGTACAATAGACGTCAGGAAAATACCTCCCCTCAAAAAGCATGAACTTGTTTCTTCACTGCTGAACTAGTTTGGTTTTTTGTGAAGTTTTTGGATGTATTTGCTCTTGGACAACAGCTGTGGTTTAGGCTGCAACACGGTGGCATCAATTCACTCAACAGCCCCCCCTCCATTTATTCACTGTCAAAGTGTAGGTTGGTCTGTTGTCCCAGGTGACCCCTCACGCTGCTCTCTCTGACTTTGAACTAGCATGGTAGCATTACAACCCCTTGGACGTGGGAACCAGTTTAGGCGTGCTTGTCCTGTATTCCACTCAATACATTCCAGTCCCAGACTGACGGGGACACCCAGTGGTGACCTGCGTCTCTTCAGCTGGACAGTGGTTTTAAAAAGTGAAGCTCGACTTCTGTCCTCCCCACTTTTAAACATTCCTGAAAATTCTGTCAACGATGACGTGGGAGACCGTTTCGGGGAGCAGTCGTGTTTTGCTCGCGGATTCTCGTCGGCTCGTGGCGGCGTCATCTCGTCTGTTGGTGTGCCGTCATCAGTTTGCAGCGTGTTCCTTGTGAGCAGCGCGTCAGCGTCTTCTAAAGGGTGATGGTAACGGTTCCCAGGAGAGTTTTAGTCCTGCTTTACCTTTCTTTACTGGTCGAGGCTTCCGAAGCTTTGTAGGAATGATTACATGTAGCACAAGGAAAGTTTCACATTCAACTCCCTTTCACCTTCCGTGTCTGGTTGCGCCGCTCCGACTTCAGTCTGTCTTTTGTCTTTGTTTATTTCTTTAAATCACTGTGAAAGAAATGGGATCCTCACGGGCATTGTTTTGGCCAGTGGCTAACCTCCCCATCCTGACCCTTTACCCAGAATGCCACAGAAAAGCGTGCCAGAGCAATACTACCAAGGAAAGACTTAGCCTCCCACCCTACCAGCTCACGCAGATTGTCGTAATTGTGGGAACACGTCTGCTGTGAGAGCCAGGGTACCTCCCAATCTGCAGGGAGTGTTCCTGGGGTAGGGGGTGGGATACGACGAGGTTTTTGTTGGGTAACCAAACCAGCTGTTGTCAAGGCAAAAATGCTATGCTACAAAAATACTGATGTACTCAATACCTGTAAGTGTATGTTATTCAATAAATAATTGGTTAAACATGTTCCTAGTTGTTGTTTTTTTACTGTATTTTACAGAATTACACACAAACTGCACAAAGTTTAGATCTTCACTAATGAGACTAACTTGTATAAATAAAGGTTGAATGAATAGAAAAAATGTCCAGGTTTGGACAAGTGGGGAAAAAAGAAATCAGAATATATAAAGTAATATGATTTTATTACCTTGTATTTTCTACAGTATGAAACAAAATATATAATAACTCAGTTTTAAATGATTTATTATGAAAATAGTCACAATGACCACTCTTAGGGATTTTACAGATTCAGTGTTTAGAATAGAATTTAATTTTATTGTCATTGCACATGTCACAAGTACAAAGCAACGAAATGCAGTTTGCATCCAAACAAGTGTTTAGCAAAAAAAAAAAAACGAGTAACCCCACCACGTGCACACAGAAAAAAACCGAATATTTGTCTGGGAAAAGTACAGGATGTTTAAAATAGAAATTCTGAGCGAACTTTGTTCTTGGTTTTTCAAATGTTTAGTTTCACCAGCAGGGGGCGCTGTAGCTCAACATTTAGAAAATCTTGAAATGAGTTTTCAATGAAAACTGACCAGTGAAATTAACGATTGCATGTAATGTAGACCAGCTGTTGAGCAGATGTGTTCCCTTAAACAGCCTTTCAGATTAAAACACTCGTCTGCGTGTTCCATTGTAGAACTACATCACTGCAGCCATTATTATTTTAAACTGGAAACATGGTAGTGTATGTTCACAGTGCACGCATCAAGAAAGATTAAGAAATAAACTTGTAAGACGATGCTGATCAGATTGAATGTGTTTATGACGCGTTCATCTTTTGTACATGAAGTATTTATAGACTAGTAGATCAATCCAGTTTGATACAGATGCTGGTTAATGGTACTCTAACAATAATCCCATCTGATTTGACAAAGAGTTGAAATCAACATTTTTGTCTCGTCTGTCCCTGAAGCTCCAGAAACTGGTTCTTGTCACATGTATTTTCATAAATTCACTGTTAGACGTTCAGCATGGCAAACGCAACAGTGCCGAACTGCGGCTGTTTGTTCTATAAGCTAAATGTAACTAAAGGAAAAGGCTAACTAAAAGCTAAAATAATGGTAGATCAAAAACATTAAAAAGTTAGCAAAAGGCTAACTACAACTTTCAAAATGTTATCTAAAAGTTGGAACTAAAGGATAGTATCAGTGGCAAATTAAAGCTAATTGTAGCAAAAGGATAGGTAAAAAATTTGCCAAATTGACCGAAAATGGCAAAAAAAGGCTAACTAAAAGCTAAAAGTGGCAAAACCATAGATAGAAGTTGAAGTAGCAAATCACTAGCTAAAAGCTAGAAACAGTAAAAAGTGAGCGACAAGCTGAAAGTTACAAAAGACGAGCAAAAAGTAGCACAAGTTAAAATCTGAAAATACAGTACTATCAGAAGACAACGAGACAATTTTGTTGTATGTTTTTATGTGTTTGTTTGTGTAGCTCCATCTTATGTTACAGATCTTATCGTTCCATATTGTCCTAACAGAGCACTTCGCTCTCAGACTGCAGGCTTACTCACGGTTCCTAGAGTTTCCAAAAGCAGAATGGGAAGATCTTTCAGTTCTCAGGCTCCTCTCTTGTGGAACCAACTTTCAATTTCTGTCCGTGAGGCTGACACATTGTCCAGTTTTAAGACTTTCCTTTTTCATAAATCCTATAGTTAGGGTTGGCTTGTTATGCTGCTATAGACTTAGACTACTAGAGGACAAACTGACCTAATTTCCTTAAATGAATTGTTAAATTGAATAGTTTTCATTTGATACTATTTCTAACTTCACATGTGATTCTTGACCTGCCATTGTGTATCTGTTCCTACCAAAGCCAGCCGGTCGTAGCAGATGGACACTTGTCCTGAACCTGGTTCTGCTAAAGGTTTCTTCCTCACGAGGGAGTTTTTTCTTTCCACAGTCGCCTTCATGCTCAAGATGAGAGTTCTGTGATGGAGTTAAACTCAAAGCTGCTCCTCAGATAAATAATGTTAAATTATTATTTTATACATGAATGTTTCTGTTCAGTCCCTGAGACGACTTCTGTTGTGACTTGCTGATATACAATGAAACTGAACTGAATTGAACTGAATTTTATTCAAATGAAAATTTCAATTAAATTTCAGGTTTCAATGCTACAAAGTAGAAAGTTTACAAAGAAGGATGGACACTTTTGCAGGGTACTGCATACAGACTACCACTGTTCTTTCTTCAAAATGGTAAATGATAAATGGACTGTACTTATATAGCGCCTTTCTAGCTTATTTCAAAATACTCAAAGCGCTTTACACTACAATCTGTGCCTCATTTACC